ACCTTTATTATTGGTCTTCAAGTACAATGTTTTATAATTCATTCTTCAGCCTAGCAATAATTATCTGAATGATCAACGGCAGAAAAATCAGGTGTTACTTTTATACGTGCATTCACTAACCACTTGTTTGGCAACCAAGAAGACAGCTCCAAGAATAAGATAAATCCATATCAACAACTCTATATTAGGCAATTTAGGGGAAAGGCCAGTGCTGATCCAAGCAGTAATTTCACAGGATTCAGACTACAGTCACAGGAGATTGAAAACTGAAGACGAAGAGAGTTGTCCAAATCTTTACTGAAATTTTATACTTCAAATTCCACAAAAGGAATAGTTATAGGAAGACAGAGTCTGGTTTCACTTTGTAAGAGTTCAACTACCGTATAAATCTGATAACTGAGGGAAGTGATAGGTTCCTTTTCTCATGGTGGAGTGAAGCAATAACTAAACTATTATGTGATGCTTAAAAACAGTCCTGTTTTTTTCTTTCCCTCCCACTCTCTCTCATTCTCCCTCTCTCTCATTCTCTCCCACCATACTCAGTAGCTTCATTGATTATTCATTCCAAGGATGTTATAGAATAGATTGATCTATAATCAAGGAATCATCCCATCTGTAATTAAGGTTGCAATGCAAGCCAATCCATTGGTTCTTCAATAAGGATATTTATTGAATTAATTGAATTCACCAAAAGTGATGTCATTAGCCATAGTTTACACATGACAGCTGGCTTCTCAAACTAAGCCAAAATCAAATAAATCACATTCTGTGATAGAATTGTGTGTTACAAAAGGGAATTATTTAGTGTATTTGAACATACTTCTTTAGATGTGAAATGCTGTGATAGTTGAACAGTGTAAAACTTCACACAATCACAAACCTTTACCTTCTGTACCATGTTGTTATGGGCAAACACAGCAAATGTCTATTTTAGCCAATATCTGTTATTAGGAACTCTTGGAAGAAGGGGTGCACTGGCGGGCTTTTAATTTATTTTCACTCCATGATGGTGATGAATGATTTGGATTCCAGGTTTTAAAACAACTTCCTTAAAGTGTGTTGCTCCTTTTTTTTAAAGTGTGCCATTGTACAATTGAACTAAGGAATATTGCTGCATATAGCAGATCTGTTGTGAGATGGCTAATTGATTTTATTTCTCTCCAACCCTTCAATCAAATTGCACTTACTTATTATAAACAAATTCTTAACAATCGATGCATTTCAGAAAACCATTCTGGTGTTCTGATGGCAGAAACCAGTACTGTAAACAGATTTGGGATTTAATATTTCTCCCCTTTTTTGTTTTGATTCTGTGCCATCTTAGTGACCACTTAGAATTAGATAGTTCTTCTACAGGTCCTTTTTTATTCAGAGAACAGTTTTAAAAAGGATGGTTTTGCTTTCCCAGGCAGTGGATCTCATGTTTGTTTGTTTTTCCTGTTTGCAGCCAAGAACAGTAATTAGATATGCAACCGATAATGCCCTTGGGTGCATCTGGACTAAATTAACTAAAAATCCTGTATCTCTGCTGCATTTTCAGCAGTCAAGAATGTATCAAACTCTCAGGCCATTTCCTAATTAGCTGCTCCACCCCTTAATCTCATCTAAGGGAAGTCACTACAGAGACATAGAATTCAGAACTACAGGTAGTCCTTGGGTTATACCTATTTCCTCAGCAACTCTGTTAAACGTTACAACAGCACTGAATGAGGGGGATTTATGATGGACCCAATATTTCTGCCCTTGCGACATCCCCGCAGTCGTGTGATAGCGATTTTCAACATTTCCCACCCGCTTCCCACAAGAAAGTCAACAGCAGGGGTGTCAAACTCGCCTCATCATGGTGTCATCACATGACGTATCACGATTTTTTCCCCTTTGCTAAACCGGGCATGGGTATGGCCAGCATGTGATGCATCCCGCGGGCCATGAATTTGATAACTCTGGTCAACAGGGAAGCCAGCAGGAAGTTGGAAGTTGTATTCATGTAATGAGTTGTATTTATTTAATGACCTGCACAGTCCTGGTTTAATGACAACAACAGGGATTGCTGGAATCGCCACCGTGAAGTGATGTAGTCACATGGTTTATGGCACTTAGCAACAAACTCAAGGTCCCATTTTGTTGTCTTTGTTGTAACTTGAGGACTACCTGTGGTTTGTTAGGGATTAGACATAGCAATATTGTAACCACATAAGGTCACACACAAGAAGTAAGTCTGCACTGATTTGTGTGAAATGAACCAGGATGAGGTGATTTTTTTTTAACTCATGTAAATGATGTATAGCAGAATCAGTCAGGTGTAGGGGTTAAGGTGCCAGATAGAAACTGGGAGAGAGTGAGTTTTTGTCCCATGTTAGTCACAAAGCCAGTTGGGTGACCTTGAGCCAGTCACTTTCTTTTAACCCAGTGGTTCTTAACCTGGGTGATATTGCCCCACAGGGGGCGATTTCATTTTTCAGGGGGGCGATGGAATGAAAAGGGGTGATGTGGGGGCGAAGGAATGGAAGGGGGGCGATATGGGGGTGATGGAGCGAGAAGTTTTGGGGACACTTTTGAGACTTTTTTCATACAATGAACCACTGTATATCTGTCATACAAAAACATCAGATCGCTCGCTATTAGTGGATTGAACTGTGTTTTAAAATGTTCCTCCAGCTAGCTTCAGTACAGAACACCGTACATATATGAATACGCATTGCTCATCTTCATGCGCATTGCGCAGCAGCCTCTATCACTCTACCCATTAAATTTGTCGCTCTGATTTTTGTTGCTTTCCTTCTGTAAAAATTTTCTTTGTGACTTTTTAACCCTTTTTACAATGTGCATGAATATATATTTTCCTCGAATCTTAATTTAGTTTCAGAGTTTTCGTCTTGAAATTCTTAGTTTCTGCATTGCGGTTTGTTCTTTTGCCCTTTTTATATTTCTTTTTGCGTCTTAAAATTCACTTGTAATTAAATGATTAAATGTTACTGTTTTTTTCGGGCATTTCATTTTCTTGCAATTGAATTTTGTTTTCAGTGGTCATTGCATTTAAGTGTCTTGAATAAATAAGATAATAATGAAATACATGTATCACGAAGTTTGGGAGTAAAGTGATGGGTGGCATCAGAATTTTTCACACAGTTGAGATATGGGAAAAAGACTGGAAATAAATTATTTGCATCGATATGTCCTGATGACAATTTTAAGGAAAACAAAAAACGTGTTTGCATAAATTGAAGAATTATTTCCCAGTGTTGTGATTGAGAGGTTATGTTGGGGGAGGGGGGCGATGATAACTTCCTCAATGGCTCAAGGGGGCGATTCTTTCAAAAAGGTTAAGAACCACTGTTTTAACCTTAGGAAGAAGGAAGCAGCAGCAAACCACTTCTGAAAAATTTTGCTAAGAAAACTGCAAGGACTTGTCCAGACAGTTGCCGGGAGCCATCGCTGATTCAGCCCTCCCCCCCAAAAATAATAATAATAATAATATTCAAATTGCCTACATGTGGATTTCTCCACTGATAAATTAATATCTGTGACCAATTCATAATGCTAGCATTGTAATTCATCTAGGTCAGGCAAACTTCTTTGAGAAAAGAAGAGTTTGTGGCTTGGGCAATCATATCTAAAACATAGGTTCCTTTTTTATTTAGGACTAGGCACCTAATTCACACATGACACTTAAGTCACATTGGGGCTTGCTGTTTTGCCTTTGTGTGAAGTATAAGCCATATAGACCAGAGGTCTCCAAACTTGGCAGCTTCAACTCCCAGAAGTTGAAGTCCACAAGTCTTAAAGTTGCCAAGTTTGGGGACCCCTGATATAGACCATAAATAATCTTTTAAAAAAGTGTTTGTGTGTCTCCAGGCAAGTTTCACCAAATATGCTACTGGATCAAAAACAAACCATCTTTGTAAATATTACACATAACTGTTGCGTTATGACAACAATTGGGATGGGATTGCTGTTGCTAAACGATATAGTCATATAAAGCATGAGGTCATCAATTAGCAATCCCAGGCAGTCCCAAAATTGGCAACATTTAAACAGGAGGAGGGCTAGAGACCCAGGTAAGGAGTGTGGGGATGTTGACTGGGTTGGGGTGGGGGTGGGGAGTCTGCAGAAAAGCCAATGGAGGCCCTGCACACTTTGCATTGGAGGCTGGGGGAAGAGTGGGAACACTGGTGCAGGCCACATGCAAGTTAGGGAATTGATGCTGCAGGAAGGAATTTCTATGTGGTTACCAGGGTGGTCAACCAAGACAAATTATGGACAAGTCATTGCCAGCAGAGAATCTTTAACAATAACAGAGTTTTAAAATTTAACTTCAAATATCCCATCAAGAAGTTCTAATGACTGTAAAGTTCATCCAGTTACTCAGGGAAGTGCATTAATTACATAACCAAGGGAAGGATCCCGTCTCTACAAATAATATATGACTGGCTGTTGTTTTGATAAGGGTTTTTCAGACTAGCCATTCGCTTTAGGAGTTTGGTTGCCCACAAATTTGGGGAAGCCTCCAAAATCTAGTGGATTAAGACTAGGAAAACCTGAATTCTAGTCTTACTTTGGGTACAAAGGTCAGCTGGATGGCCTTGGCTAAAAGTAGTCCTCGACTTATGACCATTGAACAATGGTTCAAAGTTACAATGGCCTCAGAAAAAAATGACTTGTGACCCATCTTGAAGTTATCTCTGTGATCGCAGTTTGGATGCTTGTCGATGCTCGCATTTACAAAAGTTGCAGTGACTTGTGTGACACATGGTCATGATTTATGATCTTTTCAGATGGCTTCCAACAAGCAAATCAATTGGGGAATCTGGACTTGCTTAATAATCACAGGATTCACTCAATAATCATATGATTCATTTAACCATGGTGATTTGCTTAACAACTGTGGCAAAAATGATGGTAAAATAAGGCCCAGGCACATCACAACTTCTTTTGGTAATGCCACACTCAATTGTGATCATAAATTGAGCCCTATAGTAACTTTTACCCAACTCTAGGAAAAAAACAATGGTAAATTACCGGTACTTCCAAAAATGCTACTTAGAAAACTGCCTGGATTTGTCCATGTAGTCATCAGGAATCAAGTCTGACTTGAAGGTGAAAAGAAAGAAAAAGAGCTAAGATTTTGCATGTTCTGTGCAGCTACGCCAATGTTCTACCTGGAAGCCAACTTGTATAAACTAGTTACATTAAAGTAATTTAATTTGAACTCCAGAGTTGGAAAAAATAAAGATAGGTAGGGCTAATAGATCTGCAAAAGAAAAAAGGGAAAAAAAGCTGAGCAGAAAAGATTTAGTCTTCTGTCTAATGGTTATCAGTATTTTTGCAACACAGATATATGCAGGGCCTGAGAAAGGGCATCTGTTTGGTTGGGATTTCCCCATTTGCAGTTAAAGGCTCCTCTGCCCTTTGATCAGGAGATCTAATCCATTCTATGGATCTGAGGGATGCTTTCCAGGGTTGTAACTATAACTAGCTTAATTTCTTCATCCTTGAGATGGAACAGTAGAGCATAAGAAAATAATTCTCAACACTTGCCTAGCCATTCCCAGAATGTTCTAGGGAAGAACACCCCAAAAAAGGAATCTTGCTGCAGCACTCATGAGGTAAAAGTTAATTTTATCAGCAACCATAAAAGCTCTCTTAGCTTTTAGGGTGGGATTTCTTCCCTCCCCCCCCCCCGCTTTCCTCTTTTTGGCCTCTATTCAGGGTGTTGTTTCAAAGTAATAGAAGTCCCACTGCTTACCATGGCAGCTGGATACAATGGCTCAGTGAATGTGGTTAAGAAACGGTAAATGAGGTTTATGGTACTGGTGATGCCGTAGAAGGTCAGGGAGCCTGCAGCATAGTCCAGGAGAACCCCAATGGTCTTGTAGTAGTCACCACGCAGCACAGTCTGGATATTATTATGCCAGACAGAGAAATTCACTGAGTCCCACTCCAAGCACCATGAATAATTATTCCTGCCAATCAGATACAACATGCATGATTTTTCCATCCTATGGCGGTAGCTGTAGGCAACGCCCAGGCACAACCAGCCGTTGGAAATCTCAGCCTCCCAATAATGGCAGCCCTCACAGAGGCTGCGGGTACCAAGCAGCTGGGGCCAATGGTTAAATCCAGGGGTGGGTTTTGAATAGGTTTCCAACAAAATCCCCATGTTCAGCACAGAGTGAGTCTCCTTGAACAGGAAGAGCTCTTCATTGGCAGTGGTGGCATCAAAATTCAGGATACAATAGTCTGTTTGATGAAAAGGAAGAAAAAGAAAAGAAAAGAGGGCAACATTAAATTTTGTCAGTCGAGATCAACCCACAAGAAGGATGAGAGTGCCAGGAAGATTTGAGTAGACCAGGAGACAAGGGTAGTTTTATTCTAACACAGAGAACCTCCATTTCTTCTTGAATAAATACTACCCTCAGGTACTGATGAATCTGGGAAATAAGACATAGATACAGTTTTCAGTCACACTGTATTCCATATTTTTGCCAGCTGTCATCAGCTAGTGCAATGTAGCAACTAGAATGCTGTACACAGAAAGAAAGAAAAAAAATCTAAGAGCAAGCTTCTACTTGACCAGAGCCTCACTGAGAAATGAAAACTTGAACTTGTGCTGAGTAGAAAGGCAGGAATAATAATTATGATTGGCCTAAATCAAAGCACTACAAGGATGAAGGACTCTATTGTTTAGCACATTAGTCCGTTGCTGTTTGGTAGGTAGATGTTTTTCATCTTCCCACTCTAGGCTGACTAGAGCGCCTGGCCAAAGTCACCCAGCCAGTTATTATGCCCAAACAAGGACTAGAATAGAGATCTCCAAAATGGTCAATATTGACCCTAAATGAAATTGTGCAAGGGTTTTTAAAATTATTTTATTATATTATTTTTATTATTCATATGTAGTATTAATGTAGTAGATTAATGTAGTGTTTATTATTTGCACATATTAAAATATGTGAGTTGATGAGCAACCAGAAATTTCAAGAATCGGTCAATGAGCTGAAAAGTTTGGAGAGCCCTGAATTCGAACCACTTTTCCCATTCCCAGTCCAGCACCTTAACTTAACCCATACACAATACTGGCTCTTGTGTATATATAAATCTGTGTATGTGTGGAGGGAAATAGATAGGGAGTATTAGAAAGAAATATTTTTTAAAAAAAAAAAATTAGATCCTGGTGTGGTTTACGTGTCATGCTAAGCGATGGTGTGATTAAATGATTTGTGATCCCACTCATTGTGGCTGTTAAATGCAAACTATACCATAATGATTCATTCAGGGACTCATGGTTAGGAAATGTACTCTTCATATTAGCCATCATGATTATTCGCAAAGAGTAGCTAGAGATCGGTTTGCACATATCCTGTAGGGCTCGTGAAGGACCGATGTATGTAAGGGGATGAGAAAATGCATTCTGACGTCCTGCATTTATGTCCTGCATCCTTTAGTTCCTTGGCTTGCCATTTGTTTAGTCTGCCTGAAAGCAGATAAGATCCGTAGAAATGGAATGAGCAAAACTTGTGAAAATAATAGGGAACTTGCTTTGCCTACAACTATAAGCAAACTTTTAAAATCTATAGTATGTAAGTACATACAAAACAAAATATAAATGGTTAAAAAAACTAATACAAAACAAGATAAAACTAAGTAAATAGGAGCAAAATATCCAAAATGTTCTAGAGTACTGCAGTACAAATGCACTTGCACTTACTAAGCCACAATTTTGAAAGCAAGTTGAACCTTGACCATACAGAATTATATTGTCCAGCCATTCCTGATAAAAGACCATTTCAGAGGCTTAAAGTTCAGGAAATGCAAAGGTATTAAATAGGTTTTTATGCCACTTCCTAAGCACAGCAGTCACCTCAAAGCAATTTACAAAAACGAAATACCATATTAAAGTTTAGTGATACAACATAATAAATCAAGTAACCTTTAAAAGTTGGCAGGAGGGAAGGAAAAACAAAACAAAATTTCAGTTGACAGTATGGCTCTTGGTGTCCTCATGGAGGTTAGGAAGACTGTGAACTGTGATTCCAACTGGTTCAGAGGACGCCAAGATAAGAAAGGATTCCCTTCACATTTGAAACTCTTACCCATTTCAGTAGCGCTTCTGAGAAGACATTGAATCTTGAGAAATTCTCCTAGCAATTGGAGGAAGGTAAAGGACTCACCTAACAGGACAGGGAGAGGGAGGAGCACAAGACATCCTATTTAAGGACATAGCTTCTCCTGGAAGTTCATTGTCCAGGACTACAGGAAAATAGCCTCTTTTAACTGTCAATAAATCAGAGGTGACTTTCACTCCACTAAAGGCAAGCAGCTTAAACCAAGTTTAAGCAAGCTGTCCATAAACATATTTTGGACTGCAACAGACATTGTGTGCCATACACAAACAACAAAAAAGTTGTTGCTGAGAAAAAGAGCAAGCACATCAGGTGATTAGGAAGACAACTTAGGCAGGAGAAGGAAGCCAGAGGACCAGAAACCAATATTATATTTGACTTTGTCTCCTGGCCAGTATTTGAAAATGCAGGAGAGGGAGGGGGAGAGAGAGAGATGGAAGACTTCTGAAAAAAAGTCTTTTCTATATTGTTTTTGTACCCAACATACTTCTACCCCCAACATAGAAATCTACCTTATTCTCCTTGAGAACTATTATTATTATTGTTATACTTTCACCTATCTCTCTATATGGTGAAGGCTCCAGCAGGACTGTAAGTTCAGAAGAAGCTTATGTAAAAGTATACTACATGCAGCTGGGCAGGTTATATGTACAGGTTCTCCACGACTTATGACCACAATTTAGCCCAAAATTTCTGTTGCTACGTGAGACACTTGTTAAGTAGGTTTTGCCCCATTTTATGGCCTTTCTTGCCAGATTAGTTAAGTGGATCATTGCAGTTGTTAGGTTAGTAACACAGTTGTTAAGTAATCCTGGCTTAAAGGATCCTTGGTGGTCTCTGAGCTTGCTTGTTTTCTTGCAGACATTTCATTACCCTAATTAGGCAACATCATCAGTGCTACCGTTGTAAGGAGTGCAATTTGGTGTCAGTTTATAATCTGGTGTCTTGCCTATCTGTGTGTGTGTGTGGGAGGGTCTTAGAGATTCTTTGGTTGGGCTGTTTAGTGATGGCTCTTTGGCAGTTTCTTGATTGGGTATTGCTTACTTGATTGTTGGTCTGAAGTTAACCTTAGAGTTAATCTATGGTGATCTGGGTGCTAATTACTGGTGGAGAGGTGCTGGAGTCCTCTTCTCTTTTGGGCTGGCTGATTGTGTCTTTTGTGTTGTGTCCGTCGCAAGGAAGGAGACTCGGAGCCAGTGACTTTAGTTCAGCTCATTTATTGATTCCCGAGATCGGCTCGGGTCCGAAAGAAAAGCGGCGGCTTTTATTCTTTGGCCACGGCGGCCGCGGCCAATGGCACCGCTTTGAATCTCCCGTGATTAGTTTGCACCAATCGCGGGACATTCGCGGCGGGCCAATCAGTGCGGCTCGCTCGACCAATCAGCTCGCCGTGCGTCTTGACCAATCACTGTGCGGTTCTACAAGAATGGTAATGACCGTACAGAACACCCCTCTCCTCTTGGTAGGGTCCTACGTAACGTAGTCCCGTAAGTAGGCGGGGCTACATACTTGTCTACTTGACCTGCACAGGTTAGTTGGTGCTTGGCTCCCGGCCGGTTCGGTCGGGTTCTGTGTTGCTCTCTGCCCTGTTGATGGAACCGTCTGGAAGGCTGAGCCGGGCCTTTCGTCGCAGCTCCCTCCCGGTCTACCCGGTCTGGTTGAGCTGCGGTTTCCGCTCCCGCCTGGTCTTTCCGGGCTGGTTGAGCTGGCCTGGCTGCTTCTCCCTGGTGAGGTGTCGAGCTGGCTGCTTGCCGGTGAGTATTCCTGGTTTCTTTCTCGTGGGGTTTGGTCCTTGGGGCCTTCCCTCCCCTCTTGGTTTGTGTTGGGGGGGGTTCCCTTCTGTGTTTGCTTCTGTTTGCGTGTCAGTTGTGTTTCCCGTGGCTGTTCTTGACCTTAATTGGTCGATGTGTCGTTTCCATGCTCATCCGTCGGTTGTCTGTAAGCGGTACGAGCGTGGACCTGTCACTTGGATTATGGTTGCTGGTACCCAGAGTGGGTCTCCGGTGAGGTTTTTCGCGTATTCTGCGTCACCTGTTTTAAATATTCGGTCTTTGCTTGAGGAGTTTGGAGGTTTTTCTGGGTTGTATGTGGGGTGCAGTCTGTCGAGTGGGGACCTTAATTTTCTCCCCATCAGTAGTTCTGCCGGGCTTTTATTGGTTGTTGTATTCGGGGTAATGTGTTGTATGAAAAGCATTTTGTTTATTTTCTCTTGGATTTCCCTGTTTTCTATCTTTTGGATAGTTTTTTTTGTAAATTGAACCATCCGTTCCCCCTCCCGTTCGCCACCGGATGTGCCGGCGCTGTCAATGCGTGTCGTATCCCCCGCTCCACTAGGAATTTTTCGAATTCCAGCGAGGTAAATTGGGGCCCGTTGTCGGATACGATGACGTCTGGGAGGCCGTGGGTTGCGAATAGTTTGCTGAGTTCCTTGGTGACGGCCTCCGTGGTGGTAGTTCTCATGTTGCTTACCTCCAACCAGTTGGAGTAAGCATCTACCGTGATGAGGAAAGTGTGGCCTTTCGTGGGCCCGGCAAAATCTATGTGAATCCTGGACCATGGTCCCCTAGGGGTTTCCCATTCCAGGATTGGGGCGGCAGGAGGGCTGGGCCTGGTTTCCTGGCATCTGTTGCATGCTGCCACCCAGGCCTCGATTCGTTTGTCCATTCCTGGCCACCAGGCGTAACTTCTGGCCAAGGCCTTTGTCCTAACGATGCCTGGGTGCCCCCCATGCAACAATTCCAATACCTTTCCCTGTAATTTTTCCGGAATAACAACCCGGTCCCCCCAAAGTAAACAACCTTTTTGTAATGACAGTTCTGTTTGCCGGCTCCGGAATGTCCTGAAGGTTTCGTCGTCGTCCTTTTCGGGCCACCCCTTCTCTACCCAATGTAATACCCGCGCCAGACGTTTGTCTTTATTGGTTTCACGGGCAATGTCTGACGCTGTTATGGGTAGATCGGGCAGAGTCTCTATGCTAAGGGTGGCCGTCGTGGGAGCTGGGTCGGTGTCCAAGTCCGGTAGCGGCGTGCGGCTCAGGGCATCTGCATGGGTGATTGTCTTACCGGGTCGGTGTGTGAACCGGTAGCTGTAGGCGGCAAGGAATTCGGACCACCTTGTCATTCTTGGGGATAGAATGTTCGGGGTGGCCCTGTTCCCTGCCAGGATTCCCAGCAGCGGCTTGTGGTCGGTGACGATGGTGAAGGTCCGGCCGTAGATGTACTCGTGGAACCTTTTGACGGCGGCAACGATAGCCAGGGCCTCTTTGTCCAGCTGACTGTAGTTTCTTTCCGGTTTGGTGAGGGTCCTTGAGAAGAAGGCGATGGGTGCTTCTTTTCCGTCGGGGAAGAGTGTGGCTGAGGACGGCGCTGACGCCAAAGGGTGATGCGTCGCATGTGACAGCTAGCGGTAGGGTCTCGTTGTATTGGATGAGGACGGCATCCGAGGCGAGCAGGTCCTTGGTTTTGTTGAAGGCGGCTTCCTCGCGTTTCCCCCAAGTCCACGGAGCCGCCTTGTCCAGGAGCCTATGCAAAGGCTCCGCCGCGGTCGCCTTCTGGGGCAGGAAAACATTGTAAAAATTAAGCAGTCCTAGAAATGCCTGTAGTTCCGTTTTATTCTTCGGCCTGGGGGCTTCCTTGATTGCTCTGATTTTTTTCTTGGTTGGGTGAATTCCGTGCCGATCTAAAAGGTACCCCAGGAACTCGACCCTCTCGGTGTGTAATTGGCATTTTTCTTTTTTAACCTTCAGCCCCGCATTTTTGAATTTTGTTAGGACCTCCCTCAGGCGACCCTCCAGTTCTTTTTGGTTGGCTGCCGACACCAGTACGTCGTCGAAGTAGGGTACCACCCCCTTGATTCCTTGCAGGAGCCTCTCCATGAGGCTCTGGAATATTCCTGGTGCCACGCTGACTCCAAACTGGAGTCTCTTACAGCGGAAAGCCCCCCGGTGGGTTACTATGGTTTGCGCCTTGACGGTTCCTGCGTCGACCGGCAACTGCTGATAGGCTTGCGCCAGGTCGAGCTTCGCAAAGACCTTGCCCCCCCCCCAGTGAGTGTAGGAGGTGCTGCACTACTGGGACGGGGTAGGCGCTCTGTTGCAATGCGCAATTTAGGGTGGCTTTATAGTCCCCGCAGATTCTCACCGACCCATCGGGCTTGACTGGGGTGACTATGGGGGTCTCCCACCGGGTATGGTCGATTGGCTCGAGGACCCCTTGTCTGATGAGCTTGTCTATTTGCTCATCGATTTTTGGCCGGAGTGCGAATGGTACCCGCCGTGGTTTCAGGCGTATTGGGGGAACGCTGGGGTCTAGGCTGAACGAAATAGGGGGGCCTTGGTACTTGCCTAGGGTGCCATCGAACACTTCTTGGAAGTCCCTTGCGAGTTGTTCCTCCCAGTCAGCCTCCCCGATGTGGTCGATGCCCGTTACTTCGATTCCGAGCGGCGCGAACCACCGCAGTCCCAAAAGGCTGGGGCGGTCTCGGTCCACGATCGTCAGGGGGAGCCTTGCTGTGCGCCCTTTGAAAGTTACCTCGAACTGGCCTGTTCCGACTACCGGTATGCGATTCCCCTGGTAGTCCTTGAGGATTAGGCTCTGGCTTTCCAGTCCTCTCCTGTGGATTGTGGGCACCAGGCGCTTGATTTCCCGCCATGCAACCATGGAGAGGTAGGACCCGGAGTCCACCTCCATCTTGCATGGCTCGCCCTCGATGCCCACTTCCACATATACTTTCCGGGCGTCTGCGCTGGATGAGTGGCCGATGACGACCGTCTGGTGGGTTTCCTCTCTCCGCCGGTTCCCGCCGTCTCGTCGGCCCCATCCGTCTCGGCTCCATCGGTTTTCGGCTTGGCGGTCTCTGGGCCTGGGGGGGGGGTGCCGTCTCGTCTCCGGTCGCTGCCGTCTCGCCGCTGGGGGCTGTAGTTCTTCTTGAGTCGGCAGACTCGGGCGATGTGGCCTCTTTTATCACAGTGCCAGCATATTGCATCGAAAAATCGGCACTCCGATTGAGGGTGGTCACCTCCACACCCGGCGCACGGTTGCCCTGACTTACAACTCCGTCGATCGCGCCGGTCTCGATCCGCCTGGAGCCGATGCACGTCCTCTTCCTCGTCCGTGGTGTCGGAGGTGGAGTCGAGGTCACCATGGTGTTTGGTGGTCTCTCGGCGGCTTGCTTCAGAGCGCGTCTCGGTTGCGGTCCCCGGCGTCGGGCCTCCGCATTCGAGCCGCCGATTTCCGGGTCGCCTCGGCTGCGGTGGCATCTGCAAGGACGTTGGCGAGGGCGATGTCGCCTTTTGCCATCAGCCGGCTCTGGAGGACTGGATCTCTGAGCCCCAGGACGACGCGGTCTCGGAGTGCCTCGTCCATATCCGTAAACCCACACATGCCCCCGAGATTTCGCAGGTCAGCCACAAAGTCGCCGATGCTCTCGCCCGCTCGCTGGTCTCGCCGATAGAAGTCGTGCCGCCTGATGAGAGTGGGCACGTCGGGGGCATAGTGGTTTCGGAGCAACGGCTCGAGATCGGCCCAGTCCATCATTTTTACGTCCTCGGGTTTCGCGAGGGCTTTTGCCATCTTAAATACTGCGGGCCCACAGTGTGTGAGGAAGACAGCTCTTTTCTTTTGCCCGTTTGCATCCTTTAGATTGCTACTTTCGAGGAACATCAGGAATCGGTCGGTGTACGATTCCCAATCCTCAGTAGCCGGGTTAAAGGGTGCGGGCGGTACGATGCTGGCCATCTCGTCGGTCTCGTTTCCTCAGGACACGTGCTCGATGGGGATCAGGTTTGGCATCCCACCCTCGTCGCCAGTGTTGTGTCCGTCGCAAGGAAGGTGACTCGGAGCCAGTGACTTTAGTTCAGCTCATTTATTGATTCCCGAGATCGGCTCGGGTCCGAAAGAAAAGCGGCGGCTTTTATTCTTTGGCCGCGGCGGCCGCGGCCAATGGCACCGCTTTGAATCTCCCGCAATTAGTTTCCACCAATCGCGGGAGATTCGCGGCGGGCCAATCAGTGCGGCTCGCTCGACCAATCAGCTCGCCGTGCGTCTTGACCAATCACTGCGCGGTTCTACAAGAATGGCAATGACCGTACAGAACATTTTGCATAGTCTATAGATGTTGCGAGTGTCTATATGTCGATTGCATGCCAAATTCTAGAAATTCCTTAGTGTTTTTGGACTTGGCCTGGTCTAGGATTCTTAAATTTTCTGAATTGAAGCTATGGTTAAATCTGACTATATGTTGTGAAATTAAAAAAAAATCATCGTGTCTTCTGACTGCCAGTTGGCATTCATGGATGTGTTCGACCAGTCTTCTGCCCGTTAGTCTTACATAGTGGTTGTTGCAGTTCTTACATTGCATGTTGTAGATGACTCCTGTTTTTTCTTCTGGGGTTACTGGGTCTTTTGGTTTGCTTAGGATGTTTTGAAGGGTTTTAGCTGGCTTGTGTGCTATGCTGATTCCATATGGTTGTAGTAATGTTCGTGGTTTCTGAGATATTCTTGATGTATGGCAATTCTTTTTAGGGTTTGTGTCGGTTGTGCTATATTGGGTTGAGTAGTCAGGGACTTTTTGATAGTTGGGTAGGTATCCATTTTGTTGGAATGTGCTGTATAGATGTTCCTTTTTCTGCTGTTCTGAGTTGCTGCCGTGTGTTTGGGCTTATTTAAATAAGGTCCTTAGAGAGCTTCCGTTGTGGGAGGTTGGGTTGTTGCTTTGGTAATGGAGCACCTGGTTAGTATGGGTAGTTTTCCATTTCACACTTATGACCACTACAGCATTCCCTCAGTCACATGATTTATATTCGGATGCTTGACAACTGACTCACATTTACGTCAGTTGCAGTGTCCCAGGGTCATGTGATCCCCTCTTGCGACCTTTTGACAAGCAAACTCAATGGGGAAACTTAACAACCGTGTTACTAATTTTAACAACTGCAGTGATTCCCTTAACAAATGTTGCAAGAAAAGTTGTAAAGTGGGTCAAAACTGACTTAACAAATTTCTCATTTAGCAACATAAATTCTGGTCTCAATTGTGGATGTAGGTTGAGGAGTACTTGTACCAACTTGTCAGAAGTGAAATATCTTCAAGGAAAATCAAGAAAGTCCAGTTGCCTTTTTTAAAGCACCTGTGAGGCATTAGTCACACTGACGTTTCCCTTCCTTTGTCGTAGAAGCAGTATAAATCAGAACAGGTTTCACTAAGCATGAGCGTGTTTCCCAACAATAAGTATTATTTTAATTTTCTGGTATGATCAAACTAGGACCAACTGATTTCCCTCGTTTTCTATATTCTTTATCTTTTGCACCCTGAAATTAGATTCTGTGAAGGAGCCCGTTCTTTACCCTCACAGAAGATTCCTTCAATCCTAAATTCAGAAGACTGAAGGCACCTTTTCAAACAAACCAATATTATTAAAAGGCATAAGACAGCTTACAGAAGCTTACGTTTTTAAAATAAAATTAATAAGTCTGAATTTTGGTTGCCATATAGACTAACATGGCTCTCCTTGTACAATGTTCATCTGCCTTGGGCGTTCTGGTAATCTGAAGAGATACTATTGTAAGGAGGTTACGTGCCAAGATCTGACAGTCAGCCGCATTCCAGAGGGCAATATTGGGGAAACAAATCAACTAAAAGCACCTACATTTTAGGAGAGTCTTCCGATCTGTGGATGTGGGTAACAGTTCATATGGCACCATTGTGATTCCTGAAAGATTAAGAGTGTTTGAGATATTTATTTAGTATCTGTTTTTAAAATGTATTCATTTATTCATTCTATGTATGCATCAATAATTGACCCATGATTCAGGGTGGTGTATGCAACTACAAGCAATGAATAATGAGCCAGTTCAGACAACGAAAACCATTGAGAGAGGCTTATAAAGCCAGGTTTAGCTTTTAGCCCCTATCTCCCAGAGAGAAGCTAGGGGTGGGGCCCTGTGGATCTTGGGAAGAATGCTATTCCATAGGGCAGGTGTGTGGCATCTGAAAAGACACATCTCCTGGGTCCCATCAGTTGACACGCTGCTTGAATGACTGGATTCAGAATCATCTCTGTTTGATATTAAAGAACAAGAATGCCTTCAACGCCAGCCATGGCCATGCTCTTGAACCATTTCTACTCTTAACCGAGAGCCTTCACTACAGCAGATGATAGTACGTAGCTAATTTTGGCTGGTTCTGGAAACTAAGTAGGGTTAGTTCTGTGAGACCAGGAGGAAGCCACCATACCTAAAAGATGAAGCAAGCACGTGAGCAGGGTGGACAAAAGTCAGAAGAAGATCCCCTAGGGCAGGGCTGTCAAACTTGCAGCCCGCAGGCCATGCCCACGCCCAGTTTAGCGGAGGGAGAAAAAGTCACAATACGTCACTGACGCGGCAAGTTTGACACCCCTGCCCTAGGGGAAGTGGTTCAGAAAGAGTCAAGTCATTAAGGGGAAAAAATGTCATCTGAACCAGATAAAAGAAATTGGACCTCAGCACACACGCACACATACACAAACCCTCTGTGTGTCCCATCAACAGCTACCAGATTTGTGAACCAGCAAAGCAAGGACCTGGGGGGATAAAAGGGGACTTGAAGCCCACCCACTCTTTAAATCATTTTTGGATCCAGATTTGGTGATTTCTATCCCTCTGGCTAGTGCTTTCCAGCCTAGTTGAGAGGGATGTTTGTGTATGTGTGGTAAGAAAGAGCAAATGTGTATTTTGTGTCCAGTAAAGTTTTGCTTTGATGTTATTTTAAATCCACTATGTATTCTATATTCTAAATATATTCTAAAAATATATTCCATGTATTCCAAAACAAAAACAAAAAAAACAGTTGTGCCTCATTGTTCAATTGAAAGTGATTTGAGTGTGGTTCTTTTCCAGGGCTGTGAATGTGTTAATGAGTGACCATAAGCTGAATATGAGCATTTATGTAATAGTACTAGGATAAGAACCATCTGTTTCTAGCTTGGTAGTTATCTGGAAGAAGGTGACCAGAAACCCTCATAGAAGAGGCAATAATTGTTCCAATCTTTCAGTCCAACAGGTGACAGCCTTTAGTCAGACTTGGCAATCTTGAAAGATAAGCATAGTTGGGTCTGGTTAAATACTGTGGGAGGAGCCCTCTCTCCAATATAAAATACTCTACAGGATATCAAAAGAGAATAAAATATTTCCCCTAAAGGAGAAGAGAAAAATCTCTTTAAAGCAGCCCCAGTCTTTTGCTATAGGAAAACAGCCTCAAGCAGAATCCTGAAGAGGCTAGGCTTTATGAATGGACATTTTGTACCCATTCATAAAGCAAGGCCACTCTATTAATACCCAAAGGGCAGCTAGCAGCTCCGAATAAACAGCACAATAGGCAAGGAGACTGAACTGACAAGATTAGCTCAGACAAACAAAACACCTAGGATTTCCAAAAATGGGACTTTTGGCCTATAGAGCCAGCAGGTCATTGACCCCATAGGAATCTGGCAACCCCCATTAAAATATTAAAGGACATATTCTTGCCCAGGAACAGGCATCTCAATGATAAAGGCCTAAAAATTGTATAAAAAGCCCACCTACTCTCAACTCCAATTCATCAGCTAGAAACATGATGCTGTCACTGTTGTTTCTCACTACCAAATAAACGGAGACCTCTTTTCCAAAAGTATAGCCTGCCTCCAATTCATTTCTCCTGTGTCTCTTCCCCAGTATGAAATAAGAACTGGACCAGATTTAATTTCCAACAATACTTTGATAAGAGCCATGGTGGCGTGGTTAAGGCATCAGGTTAGAAACTGGGAGTCTATGAATTCTAGTTCCACCTTAGGCACAAAGCCAACTGGGTGACCTTGGACCAATTACTTTGTTTTAGTCCTAGGAAGGGGGCAATAGCAAACAACTTCTGAAAAACCTCACCAAGAAAACAGTAGAGACTTGTTTAGGCAGTCCAAGAACTGCATACAACTGAAAAAGGGCGGGGGGGGGAGCAAACCAGCAAGAAATACCAAGGCTATAAATTAGACTGGGGTGTAAAAAAGAAACCAACAACCAGAAAGTGACAATGGTTAATCACATATGTTGTTGTCTCCTTAATTTGTATATCCATATGATCATTAGGAGCTAAGCTCAGCTCAAGAGCCGTAACGTTTTTTAAAAGCCTTCCTTCATGACTTACTTATGACGTGTTGAGAATGAACTAGCTGCCGCAACTTCAATTTTATACTCTTGTTCTCTGAACACTGGACATTTTTCATGTCCATTTTTCAATGATGCTGTTTTCAGTACCACAACCTCCCCCCTCCCATCCGCAACAGTGAAACACACAGGAGAAGGAAGGCAGTGAGGCCCAGGAGGAGGCCTCACAGAGTAAAGGCTGGCATCCACCAAGGGTTGCTATGGTGGGTGGGAAAGGCTATCTGAACAGATGGTGTTCATTAAAGTGCTAAATTCCCAGGAGTCAGTCCTGAAAAGTAGCCTACTTAGCGGGAGAAACATAATCACGTCTCATTAGTTGGAAATTAAGATAAAGGGCTTTTTCTGCACTGCAGGCTTAAGCTTTTTCTCCCATGGGTAAACCGGCGGCAAATGAAATCCCTCCAGTATATCAATCCCATCCTCCATTTTGTGCATGGTGATGGTCTGGATTAGCCATCCCATGGCCCTCAACTAATAGATTCCTGGCATCTTTACGTCTCCTGCCTGGGCCAGGAAAACATGTTCCTGTCTCTGTCTGAGAACATGTGATCTCCATTAATCTTTTTGTATGAATCTCCCTTCACTGATTTCTCCTCATTCTTGACTCCTTCCCATCTTGATCTTTAAAACAACAAAAGAAAGTCCCAGTTTTCCTATCCCTTCCTACAGAAGGGAAATGTGGCAAAATCAATTTTGCTTGTTTTTTTTTTTTTAAAGTCCAACCTTACAGGATGTTTGTAAGTAAAAGAACTAAAAGACCAGCTTCTTATAGTTTTCACTAGCAAACTTCTTTGTTTTTCTTTTAAAGGAAAGGCCCACAGCTTTCCTTCATGAAGGGGGTACAGTACTTGTTTTTAGAGGATAGTCTCCTTTCTCTGAAGTCAGTCATTGCTACTATGGTGGGGAGACTGAGCTGTAGATCACTGCTCTGTGGAATTCCTCAAAACCGTCTCTCCTCCTATCGTATCTACATGAGGCTACTTAGGAAGGTCATCGGACGACATGGAGTCAGGTATTATCACAAGACCTAATGACTTATTTTGATCTCTGGCTGTCCTAGTGAAGTCACACACGCACACATATAACAGTGGTTTAGTTGATTTATTAGTGTTCCCCAGCAAATCCCTTCACCAAAACCCCAGAATTGTCCCAATTAAGTCCAGCCAAAAGTAGACCAATGCTAATCCACAGAGCTAAAGCTAACGAGTCCACAAGGTACTTGAAAGTTTCCCAATCAAGCTAAATCCACCAGGCAAAATTACAAGATGGTTCACAAAGTACAGTCCAAATCAAAGCACGGTGTCAATCTAAAGCAAGGCAGGAATCACAACAACTAAGAAACAAACAGGTTCTTCCCAACATTGCCTCCATCCATCTGCTGTGCTAAATAGACAGCTTCTGGTGCAGCCCCATCAAGAAGGGTGAGGTTGCCTCCTCATAGTAATCAGGCTGCCCTTTTCTTGCTCCTGCCCTACCTGTTCTCAGATCAGGTGCAGAAGGCAGTTCCTCTTCCTCATCACTGAGTGGTTGCAGCTGTGTTCAGTTTCCCCACCAGAAGCCACAGCTGCAGCTGAGCTTCACCCTCTCAGATGGCTGCTCGGAGCCATTGACCTCTTCCAGACATACCTGGAACTGGTTCATCTTCCTCAGAGTTGACATCTGGAGAGGTATTTGGGGAAGCGGCCAGGAAAGTCATCACAGTCATGGAGATGTTTTCCCAATATTTGGACACCATTTAGATCTAGATGGGGAGGAATAAGCTCAACGCTAGCAAGATTGGCTTGAATCCAAGGATTTGCTTGCTCAGGAATTGTGCATCTCTTGATGGTGTTGCATTCTTCAGAAAATTTTGGGGTCCTCCTAGATTATCAACTTTGCTTGAAGAATTGTTACTAATAGGATTCTGGGTGAAAAGTAAGATGGTTGCTGTTATGTAGGCGCGTGTTATGTAGGCGCTCGAAGAATGGCTCGGGAGTCAGTGACTAATTTTCAGCTCTTTATTAGTCCCGAGATCGACTCGGTGCGGCTAGGGCAGACGGCGGCTTTTATAGAACTTGCCGGCCGAGCCGCGGCCAATGACACCGCTTTGAATCTCCCGCGATCGGTTTCTTCCAATCGCGGGGATTCGCGGCAGGCCAATCAGTGCGGCTCGCTCGACCAATCGGGTCGCCGCGCGTCTCAGCCAATCAGAACGGTTATTTACAAGAATGCTAATGTATGGTACAGAACACCCCTCCCCTCTTGGTATGGTCCTACGTGACGTAGTCCCGTAAGTAGGCGGGGCTCCGTACTTGTCTACTGGACCTGCGCAGGTTAGTTGGTGTCTGGTCTTCGAACGGCTCGGTCGGGTTCTGTGTCGCTCCTTGCCTCATCGATGGAACCGCCTGGAAGGGTGAGCCGGGCCTTTCGCTGTCGCTTCCTCCCGGTCTACTCGGGCTGGTTGAGTTGCTGGCTTTGTTTCTCCCGCCCGGTCTTTCCGGGCTGGTTGAGCTGGCTTGGCTGTTCCTTCCAGGCGAGGCTTCGAGTTGTTCGTCTG